TCCTGCTGATGGCGCTGGCCTTGGACGGACTCTGGGAGTAGAGCTCCCTCGCGGAGCTGTGCAAGCTCACGTCTCCCTGTCCTTTACCCTACTATGCTTGCTCGTGTGTACGTTTGATGTGAATAAAGCCTGGACACTGTGGGAAGTCACGACTGGAGCTTTGGACTAACTCCTGGAGCTCTCACTCTGCTCAACAACTCTGCTGCTTTCCTTCCCCACGGGGGCATTCGGGGAATTCCTTGTGGACTGACATTGACTCTATGATTCCCAACTTTAGAACAACACCTAAATTCAATAGGCCCTAGAGGAGCGAGCCTTCCTCGGGGCGATGTCCTGGAGCTGGCAAGGTGGGCAGGGGGCCCTAACGGCCCCTCGTCTACTCCCCAGCCCTCCTTTCGATTGACCAGCAGGCCCCATCCTCCCACGTGCACAGCCCCGCCAGGCACCGCACGACGCCGAAGCGCCTCCGCTCCCACTGACGTCACCAGGCCCGTCACGTGCCCGCGCGACCCCGCCCCCGGCGAGACGCGCCGACCTCGGCCCTCCTCCGGAGCCTACCCTCCTCTGACAGAAGCGCGACAGCCAGCGGCCGTTCCTGCTGCTGCGGCCGACGCCGCGGGGCAGCGAGGACGGTGAGTCACCTGGGCCTCTCCTGGAACTCCCTCTGGCGACGAGGGCTGGGCGCCCGCGTGCCTAAAGTCCCAGAGGCCCCCGGGCGGCGGGGGCGGCGCGCGCAGAGTCCCACTGGGCTGAGGGTCTCGGTCTCTCAGCGCCAGACGCTGTCCGGCCTGTCCGGGTGTTCTGCGGCCCTCGGGCAACCGGCTTCTCGAGGTAAAGGGGGCGGGGGCGGCGTAGCGGGGCTCGTTGTCGAGACGGTGGGCCTGGGGCTCTCGATGTGGTCGCGGCCACGGGGCTGCAGAGATTCGCGTCCCTGGCCGCACGGCCGGGGGTGTCGCGCAGGAGGGCCCGGCCGCTGCTCCAGGGCCCGCGCGTCTCGCCTGCCCACATCGGTGCGGGAAGGCAGGGGGAGATGCCCGCTCCGTTTTACAGCGGGAGGTAGGGCGGGGCGAGGCGGGGGCCGTTTACCAGCAAGGGGATCTGGAGGAGGGTCCCCGCGGCCGAGCAGCCCTCCCTGGCTTCGCGGGTGACCTTGGCGGTCCCGGAGGAGCCCCGCCGCGCGCTCCCTCCCCCGCCTGGCTCGCGGCGCGGCGCGGGGAAGACGGGGATGTGGTTCGCTTGCCGCGGCCCGGTGAAGGCGGGGGCGCTGTGGGCCCGACTTCATCGTCTCGAAGACCCCCGATGTAGTTGGGTTCCCCGGGGCCTCTCAACAGGTGTCAGGTGAGATGGAGCCAGCGGCCGTGGGTTCCAGGTGTGGGCCTAGGATCCTCTGCGTCAGAACCACCGGGCCGCTTGTAAAGGGCAGATTCCTGGGACTCATCCGCAGAGGTTCTGATTGAACAGCTGTAACGGTCAGGTCCTGGGTAGTTCTCAGGCACACTTGGGGCAGAGAGCCTTTGTCCCAGTGAGGAGAGTGGAGGGTCCGGGTAGGGGCTTCCGCAGCGTGTATACCAGTTCGCGTGTGTTCTGGGGCCTGGTGCTGGGCCCGGCCACATATGACGCTCTCCTTGGTACTTGGCTTCTTCCCCTGGGGCTGCTCTACGTGAAGGGTGGGGGGACCACTCTGCCCTTAACCAGAATGGTTTCCCAGTCACCTGCCATCTCAGGAGACTTCCTCTACCCCTAGACCCTCCGCTCAATTGAATAAAATCTGAAGCATACAGGAAAGTGGAAGGAATTCTGTAGTGATCACTCGTGGACCACCAGCTAGATGCAATTAGCTTTTGATGGAACTTTACCAGGTATCTGTCCAGTTAACAGTCCATCGTGTATTCCGCTGATGAATGCCAAAGGGAGTTGCAGTCATCAGTGTATTTCCCTCCCAAGTAGTTAAGCACGCATACTTTAACGTGGATCTTTTTCTAATTAAGAGGCCCCTGATGTTTAAAAGTCTGCCTGTTTCTTGGCATTGAGTATCCAAAGGAGTTTGGAGGTTTTTCTATAGACTGATGCTAGAAGCATCCTAAGATCAGAAACACGCTATGTTCAGGAAACAAAATTTTGAGAGGGAGTTAATGGAATGTGTCCCAAAGGCCAGGTTACCCCAAAAGATCGTGTTGACAGTCATGAAAAGGAGTTGTTACCTTGCGTGCCTTGCTTGGCTCTTTCCAAGGTAAGCCTTCCCAGTTTGAACCTGCATGTTCCCTGTCTGCTTTCTAAGCTCAAGGGGAACAGGGCCACAGAGCTGATGAGTTAGAGGTCATGGCTCTGAGTCCCGTAGGCCCAGGTCCTTTGTTCCGTAGTCACAGACACCACCCCTGACTCCTTTCACTTGTCTGAAAGAGGGAGAAGAGACGACGGGACCTGTGAAAGTTTGTCTCCACTTTCAGAGACACTGTTCCAAGTGCAGGGACCCACCTCTCCTCCTAGAGGACACAGGGAGGGAAACCTGGCAGTTAAAGTCATGGCGTTTTACTCTGGCGTCTTTGTCCTGCGTGTTGAGGGTTGCTGCTGAGAGGCAGCTCTGCAGAGGGGAACTCTGCAGAGGACCTTGGCCCTGAGTGGGGAGGAGAGAGAAGAGCCAGGCTGGCATGGTGGCAGGAGCCTTTTTGTGTCTCCATGAGGGGACTTGGAAATAGATTGCACAAAATGAAAACGTGCCCATTTCTAGGACCCCACAAAAGACCTCTGTCTCTGTCTCTGCCTTGTCAGCGTTCTCCCAGACACAGTCTCTTTTTGAGGTGTTGGAGGTTGCACTTCAATATAGTGCTGCAAAGGGAGGGAACACCTGGCCAGGGCCTGCAGCAGAATCCCCACCCTCCAGGGCACCTACCAGAAAGCTGCGGTGTGCTGGGTCCTGAGCCGGTGGGCCGGCTGGGTTTGGTCACCACCTCTGCTGCTCTGAGTCATCAGGCAGCACTCTGGTGATAATGGTGGAGTTCTGGGACCGGTACTGCTTAGACTTGTTGGCAGACCAGGTCGGAGGCTCCTCTCGGTCACCTGGAAGCTGTGTGACAGGCTGTGGTATTCCCAGGCCCTAAGTGAAGAACAAAGCCTCGGCCAGATGAAGACCCATACCTCCTGTAAGTGCCGAGATTAGGGAAGGCCGATGTTAGACCAAGTGGAGATGGTATGTAGCCGTGCGGGGCAGCGAGGAGGCCCTCGCATCCTCTCCGTGACAGCAGGAGGCATTTTTCATAATCACGGATCATTTTTCCAGAGAACATTTCTCGCCACTTTTTCAGTGCTCCTGCTTTGTTGGGCTGTGAGCCCCTGTGTGGTCTGTGGCTTGGATGATCCAGAAGCATCCGTTCTTTTTTGGAGAGATTTTTGCTGTAGGGTGCCTGCAGTCACCAGAGAGACAGAGATAGCGAGGTTGGGGGATGATCACACCACAGTCCCTTCCCTTCCACTCTCCTCTCAGGATTTTGGACACACATGCCTGTGAGTTTCAATCCTCCGGGTCTGGGACTCTTAACTGCCGTTGGCCATGTGAGAGTCCAGCGACTATTATGACATGGGGCGATAAGACGAGGAACAAGGAATTCCTGAACTCCTGGCAAGTGAATCAGCAGAAAGGCCCAGTTTGCTGGAGTTTGCACAGAGAGGCCACAGCGAGGGCTGTGGAAAGATCTGCAGGGGCTAGGTGGGGGCCTGGTTTGGAGAAGTCTGAGTTAGAGTCTGGCAGAGCTGGCATGAACTGGGGCACACCTGGAATGGGCCAAGGCCCAACTTCTCCTCTGCAGCCTTGACCACTAGATAAGATAGTGGATCTGAGAGTGTTTTGACCCATGGACTTGCTAACTGGTCAAGGTTTGGGGGAAGAGAAAGGTCTGTCGCACCTCTCAGTTGCCAGTTTGGTAAGCGGGGGCAGAGAGCTGAAACAGGATTGAGAGCAGGGCTCCTTCTCAGAAGTGTCAGCCCACTGGTGGTTCTTGTCCAGCACTCAGCCCGTATGTCCTGTGCTGCTGCTCGTGGTAGACTGGCCCAGCGCGGCACCTGCCCTCCAGGAGCTGCAGGTCTGGCTGGGAGGCTGGGCCCTTGATCACAACTTCCTAATGCTCCTGCTGAGTCCCTGGAATTCCCTGTCCGCCTCATGTGAGACCCAGCCCACAGGTGGCTCTTTTCTCATGCAGGCTGTCCTAGAGTCTCACGTCACTCCTGCTGGGCCTTGGCTACGATCTTTGGTCAGTGCTCAGTGCACTCAGCCTCCCAGATGGATTTGCAACCCTCTGAGATCAGGGACCAGGAGTTGAGCAGCTTCCATAGGGAGTCGGAGGAAATGTTGGCTAGTTAAGTCCAGAGTCTTAAGTCTTCTCACACAGGTAGTCAAGTCACTTAAAGAACAGAGAGTTGGGGCCAGCAGGTACTGTGGTGGTTAAGGTGCTGGACTCCCACATGGCTGACAGCAGTTCAAGTCCTGGACTTGGTGACTTGGTTTCTCACTTTCCCTTTTTCTCTCTCTCAATAGTCAAAATAATAATAATGATAAATAAAATGAAATAAACAATTGAAAAAAGTGGATATCCTAGGTTTGTGTGCACGCATGCCTAAAATCCCAGGAGGAGACTGGAGCAGAAGGGATTGTGGCGTGGCCATCCCTGAGGGGTAAAGTGTTCGCTTTCCCTCTCTGTCTCTCTCCAGTGAGCACACATGCCCTATGGCAAAAAATATAAAGCAAAACAAAAAAACGGACATCCTAGCCTAGCCCCACTCCCCACTGCTTCCTGCCCTCAGCTCCTCCCACTCTCCTGTACCCACTCTGTGCTAGCCACTGCCCCAGGGCTATCTGGGAACTGTCTGGGCCTTGCACTTTTCTCCCCCAGACATCCTGGCTCACTTCCTCATCTGTCATCCTGACAGGATGCTCCTGCTCAGTGAGGCCTCCCCTGTTCCGAACTGCAGCACCACAGCACTGCCTCCCTGACCTGTTCCAATGGGGCACACATCATGGTGTGAAGTCTCTGTATTTTACTTATTTCTGTGTTTTATAGCCCTTCCCCCAAGCTAGATGTTGTCTGCCCCGTTTCAGTACTTAGGAAAGCACATGGTGTGTACGGTGTCCATACGTGTGTGGTGCTGTCTGCACCTCCTGGCAGAGCTCCTGAGGCACGGAGCTGGCTCTGAGTGCTGTGGCTCCTGAAGCTTAGGGACCCGTTTCAAATGAGGAGTTGATTTCTCAAGTGCAAAGTGAGAGGTTCTGAAGTCAACTAGTAGAGCAAAGACCTGTGGCCACACTGTCCTTCAAAGTCCCAGAATTGTCCCCCTACCCCCCAGGGAGAGGCCTGGAGAAGACAGCACATTTCATGTCCCAGTTCCCTCCCCAGCCCTGACCTTACCAAGGCTTGGGTCTCCATGTGGCCACTCTTCAGTTTTTTGTTCTGAAAGCCATGAAATCCACGTAAACCAAATGCACGTGATGGAATACCAGGGCACAGAGCGCTCGGTTGGGAGTGTAAGATCCCACAGAATGCGTATTTGGAAAAACACTTGGGGGGGTGGAGGAGGAGGCCGGCTGGTAGTGCCACAGGAAGAACGTGGGGCACAGGCCAGGACAGCCAAGGTCCCATTTCAGCTCTGTCGTCTCCTGGCAGTGAGAGAGCCACTTCTCCCCTCGGGCCACTCCCCAGGCGAGGACACTGCTCGTCTCGCCCACCAGGCCCTCCAGCCCTTGGGGCAGTGTCTGCTTCGGTGGGTGCGTGGTAAACGTCTGATGCCTGAGCAGTGTCACTGAGACTGCAGACTTAGTCATCTCTGAAAGGGGTCCCTGAGCGTCTGAGTCACAGACACACGCATGTGGCCAAGCAAGGCAGCCCCACGTGACCTGAGTGCCCAGTTCCCGAGAAGAAGACCCAGAATAGTTCTGTCCCTGCTTGTGTGAGCTTGGGGTCAGTTTTGACTTAGAGTGATGCAAATTTAGCTAAACTTCCAAAAGCGGTTTTATATAACGTGATTTAAAATAACTAGTTAGATCTCTTTCCCACTTGCATTCCATAGAGCACTTTCAGTCCCATATGCACCTTGGCTGACATCCATGTCCTTGTCACCAGAGCCACCACATATACCGGTACAGGGTGTCCAAGCACCCTAAACTACAGGGGTGGCTCCACTGCCTCAGGACAGGTTGCATTTTCTCAGATTTTCTTACCTGTCCTGCAACATAGCTTTTTCTGCTGTTTTTAAAGTGCTCTTGAAGGGGCCAGCAGCTGGCGTGTTGGTTAAGGCACTGGATTCCCACAGGGCTGATCACAGTTCACGTCCCAGACCTGGTGGCTAGAAACTCATGCCAGGTGTGTGTGTGTGCGCATGCACACGCGTGCACCCAAAATCCTGAGAGGAGAATGGAGGAGAAATTATTGTGGTGTAGCCATCCCCCTGAGGGTTGATTTCTCACTTTCTCTCTAGCAGTGAGCACACTGCTTTTAAAAAATAAGTGCTTTTTGAAAAGGCTGTTTAAGCAACATCAACAGAGGGCCATTGTGAGGTCGCCAGGAGCGCTAACTCCCCTGTGCACTGTTTTGCTCCTTTCTGCTAATCCCACCCCTGGGAGCTCCCACACTAGTTCGCACTAGTTCTGACTCTGCGGCTCCTGTTCTTCACCTGGCAGAACCTTCTCCAGAGTAGCTCAGAGTGCCCTGTAATACGAGCAAGCTAAATGTTCCAGAGGTGAGAGTCTGCCCTCACGCTGTGAGGGAACTAGGGGAGAGCGCTCTAGGGTCCAGGTACACACATGTGATTCTCGAGTGTGTGGAGGAACACAGGTGAGCTGGAGGTTTGCTTCCCGCCTAGCCGGGAGTGCTCGCAAGGTCAGCTGGAAGCAGAGCCCCTCCCTGGGCCATGGTTGTCGTGGCCATTTGACTTGACTGCACCTGAGGGCTTGTGCCTTTTTGTAGATTGGAATGGTATGTCTTGATCTCACTCAGCTGACGGCTGGTTAAGAGAGTAAACCCAAGGACTGCTGCCACTCAGTGCAGGACAGACCAGTTTCTGTAAGGGTTCCATCTCGATGGCTGAAATGATGATTCTAAAAATAGTTGGCCTTTTAGTTCCCAGGCCTGGCCCTGCAGCAGGTGCTCACTAGTCACGGTAGCAGCTGGATCTGTTTTTCCTTCTTTGCTCCTTATCTGTCCTGTCTACTTCCCCGTGTTCTGTGCCCTCGGCGGGAAACGCAGAAGCAAGCTTCTGAGCTCTGCTCTGCCTGGGAGGCAGCACAGGGGCTGCAGGAGATCACAAGAGCCAGACCTCATCACTCTCAGCTTCATCATGTGTCCAGGGGATTTTCTTACGTGCTTTCCTCTTTCAGGTGGTCTCTTACTGGCTCTCTAGGTAGGGCCTTTAGGAGCTTGGGTGGTTGTTTTATAGGTTTAGGCTTTGCTTTTTTTTTTTTTTTTTTTTTTTTTTTTTTAAATAGGTTTAGACTCTTGATCTGCCTGGAGCACTGGGAAGTAATCTGGTAGAGAAAACTGACTCATCATTACCAAACTCCTATGGGCTAATATAAAGCCTGGGATGCTGACTTGAGAGAGGGAGCGAGAGAGAGAACTGGGTAACAGCCAGTCCTCGGGTTTGCTCTGTATAGTGTTTTCTCCTAGGCACAACTAGATTTGAATCTGAGGTGCCTTTCTGGATTGAAGAGGAATACACATTAATTTAGCACAGTTATAGAGAGCATTTTGAGCAAGGAGTCACTCAGAGGAGCTGCCCATCATAGAAAAACTAGAAACATAAATAAAAATATTCTCTATGTGCATAAACAAATCATCCAAAATCTCACTACCCAAAGAAAACTATTAATGTGTGATATATAATAGATATCTAAAATTATTTATTTTAAAGTAATTATTTATTTAACTCCATTTGTTATTATTATTTTTTCAATTTCCCCAGAGACAGAGAGAGAAAGGGAAAATGAGAAAGCAAGCTACCAGGTCCAGGACTCGAACCATAATCAGCCATGTGGGAATCCAGCACCTTTAACCACCACACCACCTGCTGGCCCCAAAAAGCACTTTTAAAGTAGAATTACATCATACCTACTGCCCCTTCACTCAGTGCTGTATCAAGACCATTTTTCTATGTCAGTAAAAACAGATCCGTATCATTTTTGGGGTGAATACCATCAGTGCCTAGATAAACCAGATGGCTTTAGGGGCCAGACTGTGCTACAGTGGTAAGACGTGATGCTCTTTGAGGCTGACCTGCATGGTTCTGGGTTTGCATCCAGAGACCTCCTTGAATATGCTGGGTATGCCTGTGCGCACGATCAGGGTGGCTGAAGCTTGCAGTGGATTGTGGCCTTAAGATCCTTTTGGGGTTGCTATTTCTCTGCTTCTTTCTCTATCTTTTTATTTTATTTTTAACAGAGGTTTTTGCTATAGGGCGTGTGTGCTCTCTGGAAAGACAGAGACAGAGCAACAGAAAGCGAGAAATCATCCCTCGGGGGGATGACCATGCTGCAGTCCTTTCTCCTCATTCTCCTCTTGGGATCTCAGGCATGTCCTATGCACATGTGTTCAGTGTGAGTTTAAGCCACAGGGTCTGGGACTTGAACAGTGGTTGACTACATGGGAGTCCAGTGACGTAACCATCATACCACCTGCTGGTCCCTCTTTCTCTATCTTGCTTGCTCTGGGAAGAAATCAAAAACTTAAAAAAAAAAAAAAAAGGGGGACTTAACTAGTTCCCTTTGGTTGAACATGAAGACAGTGATGCATATAAACGTCTTTGCACATGACTCTACTCACATGTGTGTCTTGTCTCTTTTTTTTTTTTAAAGTTTTTTGCCATAGGGCACATGCGCTCACCGAAGAGAAACAGAGACAGACAGTGAGAGAAAAGTGGGAAATCATCCCCCAGGGGAATGGCCATGCCACAGTCCCTTCTCCTCCATTCTCCTCTTGGGATTTTGAGCCTACATGCACATGTACTTAGGGTGATTTTCAAGCTGCCAGGGCCTGGACTTAGACCAGGGTCAACCGTGAGAGAGTCCATGCCTTAACCACGTCACCTCCCGCCCCACCCGTCTTATCTCTAGGATTAGTACTGTGAAATGGAATCCGTGAGCCAAAGAGATTGTATACGTGGCCAAACCGTGCTCCAGCCGCCCTGCTGCCTGTGCTGCAGATGCCATGTCTCACGGAGTGAGGTGGCGTGCCAAGCTCTTTACAGGAATTCAGCCTGATACACATTGTGGTTGTTACTGTCGTCATCCGAGTTCCTAGAAATCTTACGACTTTGGAGTTTAGAATTACTCTCAGTTCTGTCTGCCTTTTGATTTTGCTTCTGCTTAAGAGCAACCAGTGTATTCTTTTTTCTGTCTCCTCTTTCTCCGCTTGTGCTTTCACAGACACAGTAACAACATAGCTGGTCATGGTCACTGAACCCTGCGTGACAGCACCTGAGCTGCGTACTCTTCATACGTGACTTTTCATGCCCCATCACAGCCCTGGGTCGGGGCTGTTGCTGCCACTTTACAGATGAGAAAACTGCTTCTGGAGTGGGGCCTAGTGCCGTGCCCTAGTCAGAGCAGGATACTGCCCTTGGGGCTCTGCAGTTCCACAGCATGATGGCATCTGGGGCCTCTAGTGGGCTGGTGTACTGTCTCCCTTGAGATGCGATAATGGTCAGGGAGGGTGTGCAGGGCTGGGGGAGGAGGGCAGGAAGACTGGGAAGCCAGACCTGCTTTCTGGTCCTTTCTGTGTCTTAGCTTTAGCTCGTTTGAAGTGTTTGGAATTCCCAAGGCATCGGATGCACCGTGTTCAAGTATGAAAATGAAGAAATGGTTTAGAGTGACCAGAGATGCTACGTGAGGGAGGGGCCATCCCCCTGTTGCACCTCCATTGAGTTGGTGGGAAATGAGTGGCCTTGAGGGTTTCCCAATCCTGCTGGTGCCGAGACCTGGCAGCTGAGGACAGTAGAGAAAGGGGTGCATCAGCAGTCCCCCCCAGCCTTGAAAGGACTTGGCCGTCCCAGATACTGCTCCGAGTCCACGAAGGACCTCCGTGGAGGCTACTTTTCCTCCTGTCCCTCATCCAGCATGTTGGGAATGGTATCTCTTAGGCCAGCTGCTGAAAGGCTACACCCCAGTCCGGTCACATGCTACCTGGGGTGCCTAGATGAGCCCCAGCTTGTGCAGTTTGGTGGAGAAGGGCCAGTGAAGGTTGAGGTCACAAGAGGACCACTGCCATAACAGGATCCTGAGGGACACCCTGTGCTCACTTTGGGCACTTCTGTGTCCCCATGCTGGGCACTGGGGCCACATGGTAAGGTCTCCACCAGTGCTTGCTACCGTCCTTACCACCTCCGTCTCTAACATCTGCTGCACCAGCCAGTCCTGCAGGAGCAAGTGCAGGATTGTGGAGGGATATGGCCGCACTGAAGGGCCACCTGCTACACTTCTCCTGAGGGCTCTTTTTTTTTTTTTTTTTGGCTTAAGGCACATGCACTTGCTGGAGAGATGGAGAAGACAGTGAGAGGGATAGTGAGAAATCACCCCATCAGAGGGGATGGCCATGCCACAGTTCCTTCTCCTCCCGGGATCCTGGGCACGCAAGCGCACATGTGATTTTCAAGCCGCAGAGTCCGGGACTCAAATGGTGTGTGACCGTGCGGGGAGTCCAGTGACATAAGCGCTATGCCATCTGCTGGCCCTGGGAGTCCGTTTTAAATACTAGAAGCATTTGCTCCACCTGCCAGCAGGGCATGCTCTGTGAGCCTGCAGCTCCCATATTTGCTGTGGTCCGTGTGACCAGGGGAAGCCATAGAGTTGGGGGTTCTTAATGGGATGTGTGTCGATTATAGCTCACCTGGAAAGAAGTTACTTCTGTGCTTAAGTAACATTGTATACAGACAGACAGACACTTTGCTGTCCTGATCCTCTTGCCTTAGCCTCCCAGCTGGGACTATAGGCATAACCGCCACACTCAGCTTACTTTAGACAGGATCTCCTCCTGGTGGCCAGGGGAGCTTCGAGCTCATGATCCTCCTATCTCAGCCTCCTAGAGCCTCCTATCTTAAGCACGCACCACTCCCCAGCCTTCAGGTTGGACTGGGACTCAAACCTGGCCTGAATCGCTCATAATCCCAGCCTGCGGAACACAATGTCTTTAGCAGCATGCACAAACATGACTGGGCTGACACAGTGTGGGTTTTTCTTTTTTTTTTAACTGAACTTTATTTACTTACTTACTTATTTATTTAAATTTGACCAGAGAGAGAGAGTGAGAAA